GACGGTTGTTTACTTGGGCAGAAGGTACACGCTGAGCGTTTCTCTCCCTTCTATTTTGTAGCCAAAACGATGGAGGGCTGGATTGGTCGCACCAAGGAGGACAGCATAGAGATAAAGCCGATTGCCCTTGGCTCTCATGTGGGTCGCATGACGCATGGTAAGGCAATCCTCCCGCCCCCCTTCCCCCATGGCCCGTGCTCAATTACATGTTCAGTTTTTGAAAAAAAATTTAATATTCTAATATCGTCATTACAGGAAAGGTTTTAGTTTATATTTCGTCTGACTGCGTTCGTCCTTTACTGACTCAAGATCGCTGGGACAACACTTTTATTCGCCTGCCGTTTCGATCTCCATCGTGGCTTCTTCATCAGAGACATGAGCAGAAAATAGTAACAGAAACGGTGCTCGTTTGCTTCGATCTATAACTGGCCAGAGTAAATTTTGGCCGACTTCTATAGGTTTCCAGGATATCAACTAAAACCTTCAAGCTCTGTGCTTGTAAGTAATTATCTCCAGCACTTAGAAGAAGGCTAGAATTTCAGCAGTCTTCATGGGCGAGGAGAGGCGAAGTGAGAAGGAGAAAGAGGGAGAGAAAAAATACGCTTTATTTTGAAGTTTAAAAAAGTTTCAGCAAAAAGTGGTTTATTAGCCATTGTCAGTCAGTCATACCCAGCCCCAATTCGTGTCCTACTCGAGCCTCGAACTCGCGACCTTTTTGATCAGAGTAAAACGCCCTAACCATTCAGCCACAAGATCGTTGTCTGGCCGGTTTAAGTCGGGAAATATTGATACTCATTGATGAACGTTCACCTGACAACTAACGGAACTCATCTCTCCCCTGACCTAACCCGGTGAGACAACGAGCTCGTGGCTCCCTAGTTAGGGCGTTTGTCTCTGATAAAAAAGGTCGCGAGTTCGAGGCTCGAGTATGACTGGCTGACGACGGCTAATGAGCCACAAATGGCCATTTCAGTCTCCCTTATCTTTACCGGCAATACTATCTGCCTATACTGCCAGCTGTTACGGCTGTCAGTGCCTCTGTTGAGACCCGAAGCAGAGCGGGACAGATGAGTTCCGTTAGTGGTCAGGCGAAAGTTATTTAATGTGGTAATGAGGACTTTGGTAACAGTAAATACGACAACTACACAGTCCTTTTTTGTTTCGTCTGTGTTCACACTGGGCGCCTTTGTCGGTGTTTTAGGTCTCTTGGAAGCCGAAGCCGATGAAAGGCGCATCGTGCGCCACTCCCTGCCCTACGGAACTGCCACCGGCGACGCGGGCCTCTTCTTCATTGCCTACTCCAAAACGCCCAAAACCCTAGATTGGATGTTGGACCGCATGGTTGGCCATACTGCCGACAAGGCCACGGATGGGCTCTTCAACTTCACCACACCCCTTACTGGCGCCTACTTCTATGTGCCCAGCAAGGCTGAGCTGCAGGACATCTTTAAAAAGTGCTCCAAATACTAGACGCTTTGATGAGTGTGTGAGAAGAGGTATCGCATCCCCCTTTCTCGGACCTCCGGTGATCGGTCGTGTCTCCTTCTCTCTCTCGTTTTTGATCAGCGCTAGTTCTTCTGCCATGCATTATTTTCGATCTCGCTATTGTATCTCGTATGCCGTCTTCTGCTTGAAAAAAAAAAA